ATTCTGGGAATATCAATTCTGTCAATTATAATTTTTAATTTTATTTATTTATGTTGAAGTTACAACGTTCAATTTATATTACAAAAATTATAATAAAGAACTTAACTAAAATAATAATTAAAATTATAATTATAAAGATTAAAACAGTAACTATATACAACATGAAAGATGAAACTATAATATAGAAAATCTAAAACTAAAAATTTAAATCGTCAAAAAGACCTGCTCCCCGTGGTATATATAATTATAATTATCAATGTCGTTGAAAAGACAATCATATATTAACTTTAGTTTTTAACTTTATACTTTTGCTATAGATTCCTTATTTTTAAATGATGAATATTTTATGAGTTATTTATTATTTTAGACTAGTTTTTTTTCCATAATTTGTTGTTTTTGGTAGGAGAATGCAGTGTAGTAACATAATTTATCTTATGTGGTCTCATGTTTTTTGATAGTCGTCGTGTTATTATGAAACGAGTGGAGACTACTTTCGATTGGTGGTGGGTAGATTTATTTTAACTTTATTTAAGTATTTAACATTTATATTGTTTATATATAAACTAATTTCAAGGTATGTATAAGCCTAGACAAGACATGTTTATTAATTTCATTCTATGGAGAATTGAACAGTTGTAAAAGTTTCCACAGTTTTCGTTCTTTTTTATCATTGTCCACATTTAAGAGCCAGAGTATTCATGCGCATTATCCAGATATGCTTTCAAACTTTGGTATCAAAAATACACATGCTATTTTGGTCTCTGAACCATGATTTATTTCTTGTTTATCCTCCGTATCATATTATGCTTTTAGAGGTTTTTAACCTATAAGGAATGTGAAATTTTTCTATAGGAATGTAAGTGTAGAAATGTGCTTTATCCCAACCATTGCTAACCAGACGAAATAGTGTAATTATTTAAAAAGGATTTTAGGACAGGAGCCAGGATATGGATAGTAATAATGACCATTTTACGACTTGTGCAGTCAGTACTGTGGTCTTAAATTCACCGTCTGAATAATATAGCATTTGGTATTTAAATAATTGGGTGAAGCTAAAATTTTATTTTTACTTATTTAGTGACATCATAAATGGTACAAGAAGAGGACAAATGCTGATTAAGCTGGTTTATATGATATAATCAGATATTATGTGTTGAGAGGGTATTTTTGGAACTACTATTTTTAAGCGCTTTTCCAACTATAATACGTTTGATAAATTTACATACTCTGCCCGAATTATCTTCGAGTATAGATCTATTTAATATAGCGTCTTTGTTTATCTATACACATACTGCTGTACTGGTCTTAAATATTTTTCTCTATTGGTATCAGAATTGTCATATTTGTATTTAGTTTTAGCAATATTTTTCCCGTGCTGCAAATTTTTGATCTCTTACGTCAACGTGTTGTAGATGTTTCAGCCGAATGTCTGAAACGTCTATAACACGTCTCATCTTTAGGCCACAGAATCTACTTACCATCAAGTGGAGTGTGAGCTCATTTGTGACCCTCATTCTATAAAAAATGTAATCATGAATGTATTTTAAAACTATGACAAATAACTGAGTATAACATTATGGCGTTATCTTGACAATCGATAAATAATGTATTTATTTTTTGCAAACTTAGTACTCTTATCCACAGAGTACTTCATAGACAATCTAAACCTAAGTTGAGCTTTCAAAAATACCAAAATACTAGAAAATCTTTATGCAATTTGCCAAAACTATTAGTTTGTGCAAATTATTAATAAAGCTATGTGGCGTTTAACAAAATTATTTAAAAATTAAACTACCTATCATCAACATTATTCAAGTGGAAAGTAAACTTTGAAAATACATAATAGATGCACTGACACCGACTGACCTTGTTCGTATCCCGTCTGGTCCAAATTCAATTCTTTAGTATTTTATATCGAAATATAATGTATTTTTTTGTTTTTTTTTTATTTACTAAACCTGCCTTAGGGCGGATTCGACCAAAGTTAGTATAAGTCTTATCCTGCGAATAAAAGCACTAATTACTCTAGAGTTAGAGAACTTTTCGTTTTACCAAATCTTAACCCGGGTATAACAGACTATCCGAGAGTAAATCGCTATACTGCCAAAATTCATGGAGTAAACAAGTTATCCCAGAGTATTTTAATGGCGACCGCTACATTTTGACAGCTGTTTTCGTATGCTTTGTTGTAAAAGTAGGAAATTTTATCGTTGTGCATTTATAATTTTTCTTGTACTTTTGTGATAATAGTAGGGTTTATTTTTTTTAAATAATGCAACGTTTACGAAATATGATCGAAGATTCTGACAGTGATGAAGAATACATTCCAAGGCGTCCACGATGCATAAGAGAAAGGAACAATTATTTCGATAACTATGATGACCGTGACTTCGTAATAAGGTTTCGATTGTCCAAAGAAGCTATTTTGTGTCTTTTATCCAAAATCGAGCATCAACTGGAATATACATCAAACCGGTATGTACCTACACACCTTTCACCATATATTTATATACATAAACAATGGTACACACACACCTACCTAGATATATTTTTTCTAAAAGCTATGTGTGTTGCTCAAAGACTTAAAACTAAAATATTATAGTAAGTAGTAGCAGTAGTAGTAGTAAGTACCTATGTTATCTAAAGTTCCTTTTTCTTTCAGAAATTTTTCAATATCTCCAGTAAATCAGTTGTTGGCCACTTTGAGATATTATGCAACAAACTGGACACAAACAAGCATTGGAGACTACTGTGGTCTAAGTACACCGACAGCAAACAAAATTGTACACAGAGTTAGTGCTGCAATAGCTGCATTACATACAGAATACATAAAATTTCCTGAATCGCCTCAAGAAATAAGATATGAACAAGATAAATTTTACCAAATAGCTCGTTTTCCAAGAGTAGTTGGAGCCATAGACTGTACACACGTTCGCCTCACATTCGTACCCTTAAGACTGGAAGTAGGTGGAGAACAAGCAGATATATTTAGAAACAGAAAAGGATACTACTCCATTAATGTGCAAGCAATATGTAATGCCAATTTAGAAATAACCGACATAGTCACAAGATGGCCAGGTTCAACTCATGACAGCACTATATTTAATAATAGCGTTCGAAAAGCACATTTTGAGACTGGTCGCTATGGTAATGCATTATTATTGGTGGACAGAGGATATGCTGCAAAGAGTTACACTATGACTCCATAAAATAAAACATTGAAATAAATAAATTTAATATTTTATTGTTTATTGTTGAATTGCTTTTTCTTTAATCTTAAATCTAATAATAAAACACGGGCCTTTAATTTTTCTTGTTTTAATTGTTCCCTTTTTATTTGTAAATCCAGATTGTGAACTTCATTTGAATGAAGTAGCTCCTTCTCAGCAACACTCTTCTGAAAATCAATTGCTTCTATTTTCTTATCATGCAATTTCTGCAATGATGATGAAGGAGCTACATATGTAGGTCGCCTTCTTGAAACCCAAGATTTTTGTAGTTTTCCTTCTTGCTCATTGTTGTCATACTGAAGAGGTTTTGCAACAGGAGTTCTTAACGTTTCGGGAGTATAATCACTCCAATCCTAAAACAAAGATTTATATTAAAAATGTTAACAACATAATGCCCAAATAATATTTCATCTCACAAAAAACATTTAAATGATAAAATTAAAAACAAGTCTACTACAATGTCGGAACACAAATTATGGGCAAGTCTGGCTTTCTTTATTTGACAGGGCAAGTTGCAGCACGGCAAGAATAGAAGATATATAGAAGTATGCACATTTGTTAAAAAGAATATGCACCTTTTTTCAATATGCACCCGGCCTCATTTTTTACATCCTATTAAAAAATTAGCTCCACCTATCACAAAATTACAAACAGTTAAATCAGGACCCCATGGTATGTGTGTAAAAATTTATAATAAAATTTCCAAATGTCTACAAAAAGAAGAATCGTTGTATAAATTTCAAAGAGAGCTTAAAAAATATTTAATTGAAAAAAGTTTCTATTCGTCATCAGAGTTTTTCTGGTGAAAAATAATAATTGTTTAATTTGAATATATATACGTCTTTAATATCGTTGTAAATATTGCAAAAGTTTATTAAACCTAAAATTAATGTTTAGTTTAAGTAAATAAAATAAAATTCATCTTTTTAAATTAATTAGATTAAATTGATATATAACATAATATAATATAATATTGTTACGCCCTATCAGGGCTCATGTGTTGGCTCTAATATATCCAACATAAGAACTATTTATGTAACCACATGAACGCAATAAAATGTTTGAGTCTGAAAATGACAGACTTAGCTTTACCTACTCCGAACTATTTATTGTAATGGAGTCAAGATACTTATGTTTACCAAGTTATAACAAAACATAGCATATATTTACTATATACTATGGGTTGCTTCAGGTGTCTATAATGTATAGAGCTACAGAAACTAATTTACCTGCATTAAGGGGAAATATAACCTCAAATGGCTTAGCAAGATCCTCCGTTATGCCGAAAGTATTGCAGCATTAATTTTGAAATAAATATATGGTAAAGTTGAGGATTAATGTTAAGGTTTATGTTAGACGAAAACACGATTCCGTAAAATTTTCTCGATAGAAAAAAAATCCAAAGTTACCTCCAAACTGAACAATAAACCGCTGTTATTCATAAAATACTTTAAATAAGATCATGAAACTTTGCATACTAACTGAACTAACCATAAAGCAGTGCTTATGTTATTTACTTTTTTTAAAATATCATTATTTTCACTGTAAAAAGAAATTACCTAAACTATCGGCGCGTAAGCTTGGTTCCTGCGGAGCGACAGGAATCGTGTTTTCGTCTAACATAAACCTTAACATTAATCCTCAACTTTACCATATATTTATTTCAAAATTAATGCTGCAATACTTTCGGCATAACGGAGGATCTTGCTAAGCCATTTGAAGTTATATTTCCCCTTAATACTTCGTTCGAGTCGATCCCAGACTTTTGAATTAATCATTAAGTTCAGTCTCAAGATCTGTAACCAAATTTTAAAGGTATAACAATTTTATATGGTTTCTCTAGGGTCCTTGACTAAGCTGTAAGATACTAACCTTTATTACATAATTCTGGCTCCTCAGGCAAAATAACTTGAACCTCAGCAAAGTTATGCCTCTCTAAGCTATCTGGGGCAACACTGTCACTGTCAAAATGGTTGAAAAGCCCAACAGCACTTGTTTTAATTATTGATATGATTTTGGAATCTAGAGGATCTACTTTCTTTGGATTTGTTGGTCCACCCCCTAAAATAGACAAAATTATTAAAGTAAAAGTATTTAAAGTATGCCATTTCTCACATTTTCAAAATATTTCTAATAAAAATAATAATCCCATTATGTAGGGGACAAGAAAAACGCAGCATTGTACTATCAAGTGCTTAATAATAATGGTACATTGAACACCTAAAGATCTTTGGGATAAGCATGTTCCCAGTAGTGGCCAACACTATATAAATGTATGTAGGCATATCTCAGTCCGCTGCTCCTCCAGTTATAAGCTTATAGTTACTCCTGTCCATATTTCTAATGTATACCAAAGATTTATAGGTTTTTAGCCTAAATAACTGGATCAACACAAACATTGATAAGGTAAGGCAGGATAAAAACTATCCTGTTTGGATTCTATGCATCCTCCTGTATGACTCCTCCTTTTTGGCCTTTTTTTCATATACTCCCACTAATTTTTTAAATTTTCTGCTGTACGCGAGCAGTGTGTCGTTTGGCTATTGTATTCGAGGGATAAAATTTGCCATTCGGAAAATTTTTGCTTCATCGTAACACCATCTGTTTTTTTATTTTCGATGACACGAAAATGTTTTTCTACGAGTCCTAACAACAAATTCTTCTCCGAAGGTAACCAATTTGGGCTACGTTTTCTTTTTTCTCCAGACATTTTATTTGAAAATATAAGAAATAAGGGTAAGGTTAGAATAATCAACTGAGAAGTCGCGTGTTAATTTTAGGGTATGTTCCGAAATACAACGCAGTGTACTGTCCAATGCAAATGACGTATCATTTGACACTTTATTGTACTAGCGTGCCGCCGCCATATTGTGTCGGATATCCGGCCACAATAAAACAATTTTTAATTGTGTGTTTGCCGAATGAAGCATGCCAGAATTTGTTTCTATTTATTCAAATACAAAAAATTATAGAATAATTGATGGTATATCCATTAGGAGGATATAATGATTTTTGGAGCACAAAATGACAAAATAATCGCCAACACTTTTCCAAATGGCGCAAAAGTATGACGTCATATACTGGCCAATGTTTTGGAACGAATCACCAGTATAGCGTCGATTCATGACGTCATTTGCATTGGACAGTACACTGCGTTGTATTTCGGAACATACCCTTAATGTTTGTTCAGTGACAGTGACAGTTGACACTATTATAATCCGGCAAACTTTAAATAGACAGAAAGTCTTGCATTGCGCTATATAAACAAATGTATTTCGATTTTAGTTGGCTTACAAGTTCATTCATTTTTCATCCCCAACTCTAGAGTAACAATACCCAGTATTGGCTACTCTCCGTTTGTGTTGGAAAAACACAAACTAAATTATCCGAGAGTAAGAACAAGGAGTAAATTTATTCGAGGGTTAGTTACTCTGGAGTAACATTGAATTTGGTCGAATCCGCCCTTAGCGGCAACATACATACACGACCTTTTTCTGCATATCTTTGGCGCAGTACCTTTGAGTGAATAAATAAGTTTCATTTCCCCTCCTTTTAAGATACTAAATAAACGTACGACAATTTTTTGGATTTAAAATATTATTAGTAATAATAATGTATGTAGATATTTACCTTTTAGAATCACATATGCAGTATATACAGTTATTTCAACAATAAATTATTAAGAAATAAAGTAGATATAGGTACTTGTAACGACAGTAGACTAAAGTTTAGCGTGTAAGATGATATACATATTAAATATAGAATAGTGTTCTTTTCTGATGAGGGAACTCACGCTTATATATATATATATATATATATATATATATATATATATATATATATCAGAAATGACATTAATTATACAAAAATTAGCACTGCGACAACAATGTTAAACGATTAATTTATGTATTAATGAAACGGTTCCTCTGATACAGCCTAATCATTTCAGGCAAATTTTCAACTTATCCTTTTACACCATCACTATTATCATTGCGATGTTTTCGGCACAAATCTTCAAAGACATCCATTATATTTGATGCGAAGTTCATATGAGTTCCCGATAGTTCAATTACCCGGTTAATTAGATGACTAGCATTTAAGTTAAACACCGTTGATATAATAAATGCCTTGTCTAGACAAATTACAATGAAACTTAAAACATTTATCATGAGCTTACCGATAGTTACATTTTTTACACCAAAAATAGCCGAGGCATTTAAATTTAGTATTTTTTTGCCATTGTGACCTAACAATTGTTTTACGAGATTCAGTAAATCATTTTTTTATACAAGCAAGCTAATTTTTGAAATATTATTAAGATAAGGATTTCTTCTATTTACGCAAATAAAACACTTTATGTGTGGTAAAGTCACGTTGCAGCTATATTATGGCCGTAGTACGAAGGTTTCGGCTCTACAGGGATAGGACCATGCACTCACAGAATACCAGTGTAAAATAGCAGTTGTATGCTGGCAAGTTATAAATACTACAATGCTGGCTAGCTGTATACACCACATAAAACACAGCAGCTGAATGTTTCGTGTGGTAAGTGAAGAGAACCGGAGACCCTTTTTAATAGAAGTGAGGCATTCCATCTTACTCCTTAGGGGTGACAGTGCATCAGCATTGTGATTCTTAATCAAGGATAAATTGAATATATATGGTTCACAGAATCCATCAGATAGTAAGTACTATCTGGTGGATTGTTTGCTCGTTCGGCATCATTACTCTATTTTGTAAAAACTAAATGAAGCTTATTTACGAATTTTGTAGTCGTCATTTTGAACTAATATTAAATTTCGACGTTTCGAGTGCTTAAAGTGACCAGCTCTATCTACAGCATAGATGCACAGACCGCGGCCCGCGGGCCGCATGCGGCCCGCTGGTGGAATGCTGATGGTCCGCCGACAGCAAAAATAATACTCTCGTACATTCGAAAAATGTTGAATTATATTCCAGAATAAAACCAAAAAAAATATGTTCGAAAAGTAATTTGAATCTCGCGCACGCGCTCTTAAGTGCGAAGTTGAATTCTGGAAATTACAATCATTTTCCGAATTATAAGAAAATGGCTGAAAAATTCAACAAAACTGCGATTAATTTCAGTTATGTAGAAAAGCTAGATATTTTAATTCAATCTTTTCAAGACAGATTTTCGGAGTTTAAAAAAGTGGAACCTCTGTTGGACATATCCAGCAATCCTTTCACGATTTCAGTTGAAAATGCGCCACAGTCAATGCAGTTAGAAATTATCGACATTCAAAACGACCAAGATTTACGCAACAAATTCAACGAAGGAGACTTGCTGAACTTTTGCTATATATATATATAGTATATATATATATATATATATATATATATATATGTATATATAAATTACCAAAGGGAAATATAGTAGTAATGTTAGTGTTAATTAAAAGTAAAAGTTTTCAATACTTAACAGTTTCTTTTTGTTGAGAATCTTTGATAGGAACTCAAATTTTATTTTAACTCACATATATAACTAAATAGGACCTTTATTACGCCTAATTATTGGGAAACACTATACAGGTTTATTTCGTAATAATCGGCTAAATTTGCAGAGAAGGTTCAGAATAAGTAGTATAAGAAAATGATGAAAAAATTGATTTAAAAAATCTCATACATTCTGTCCTTTTTCTATTTTAAATTCAAAATGCGTCGTAATGCATTATTTTAACTAATTTTTCATTAGGGTCGATCGGTAGACATAAAGTTGAAGTCTATAAATCACATTCAATTTGGAATAATTGAAACAAAAGCAGAAGCCTTATCTACTCTTATTTTCACAAACTGCAATAACGATATATCGTTATTTATGTATTTGAACTTAAATTCAAAATATGGCTACCGTAAGAAAAATAACCCGGATAATAGGAAACATTATAATTATTAAAGTTAGTACGCAATAATACCATGACTTAATTTCTATTTCCCACTTCCACAGTCAGACAACCTGACACACGAGGCAGGTTTCCGCCACCGATGCCGATCCCGACCGATTCCGACAAGACGCATTTGAATTAAACGTTTAACTTCGTCTCTCATAATTAAATAAAAAATTGCCAACTTATGTCTTTCTATCCAATTAAAATAAGTATGATCGGATACTTAATAGTCTTTTGTTAAGGTAAGCCCTAATTTTCAGAGCTACATCACCACTTACCATCACAGGTAGAATTGTAGACAGGTACTGGCTTATGGTAAGTATTAATTTATATTATTTCATAGTTATTATCATAATGAAATATAATAATATTCTCTAGGCCGAATTTCGGTCACGGAGGCCAGCGTCAATAGAGACTAGGAGGCGCAGGAGAGAATTATAGTGCTCAAGTGTATGCGCAAGCTCAGGTGCACTATGTATTCCGTCACTCTCATAATCCGATGCGACGGTGAACTGATACGATCGGAGAGAGATTAAGCGCAGGATCAATGTATTTACGTATACGGTGTTACAACGTATTCCAGACTCCGGGCAGCTACTGAGAATTTCTTGACAGAAAAATTCAATAATTGATTTTTTGGCCCGACTCGAGATTTGAACCCGGGATTTCATGATCAGGAGCCACACGATTACAACCACTACACCAACGAGGCAGTCAATATAATGAAGTATATAGAATGCTTACGATAGAGAATATCTTTGATTTGCATTTTTATAGATTTTTAAATACAAGTGATAGCGTACAATACTTGAATCATAGTCATAAACGACTACAGTTGTAAATTAATGTTGCAGTTTATTGTAAATAATGATTTAATATATAAGCTAATGTACTCTAATTATAATAAGTAAAGAAATAAATTTACTTGGCACATACAATATAACAAAGAAAAACAAATCAGGTAAGACAGAAACAAATATTTTTTATTTTAACAAAATATTTACAAAAAAATTTGTTGTTTGACTTGTTATTTTACATTAATTTATACACATTTTATTTATTGTGTATATTTTTAATTTTCCATTTGTTATTAAAAGTACAAGTCAGATTAGTAATATATTTTGGTATGGGTCAATTATACAGACTTCTTCATAGTAATTAAAAATTAAAAGTTATTCCTTAAAAGTTATACCTATGTGTAAAATTAAATTTTAATTATAAGAATAAACTGAATTTAAAAATAAAAATAGTTTCATACAGTAGTAGATAGTTGCTGAAGTCGTTGCCAAGACATAGTATTTTAAAAAAATAAACAACCGACAGATATTATTATGTGGAAATTATACAGGTGAGGTTGGTATTTCGTTAAAACGCACGTGTAACATTCTTCCTTACACGAATCAATCTATTAACATCCGTTTTCTTAAAAAAAATCGTTCTTTTTATATATTTTTTGTTTTGAAGTAGATTTTAATTAAATGCGTAATATTTTTTAATTAAAAGTTCAGTTATTGGACTCTTTTGAGTGATCAAAGAAAAATCCAAATCCAAATAACAACTAGAATGTTGCCTAAATAGTTACAATAATTAATCTACAGTTTTTAACCCTTAAGGATGTTTTTTTTTTCAAATTTATGTGGGACCACCCCTAAAGTTTAACCAATAAGTTATATACATAGTTAATAAAAAATCAAATTTATCTTTTATGTCAATATATTATTTTATATCTGTTCAGCGGTTTCTGAAGAATTGGTGATTAAAACATTCGCGTTGATTTTTTGAAAACCATTACACGAAATAATAATAATATTATATAAGATTATAATGATAGTACACCTATTATTGCGATAAAAGTTGTTGATGGGGAAATTATCGCTTATCAATTTTTAAGTATTTAGTAGTGCAATACTGCAACAAGAAGGTTGTGATTCGTACTCTATTGGGTATATTCGTTTAACATTCCCGAATCTTATTTCACAGCGTGCAAATTTATTTTGATTTTGTAGGATAGAAAAAATATTGTCTAGATCAGGTGGGCTATGTGCTCTTTACCGCTCCTACTTACATCAGACACTTTACACAGTCATTTAATTTGTCTTGTGCTTTAATTTCTTGTTGTATTTATGTTTCATATAATGAGAATAATTACCTAATAGTTCGAGATTTTAGCGTTATCATATCTAAATATTTTTCATTTTCTGAGGTTCTAAAAATTTAAAAGTTCTCGTAATATAAAAGCGCAGTCTAATTATTTATATACTTTATTAGCAATTAATGGAAAATATATTATAAATAAATATATAATTGCCACTAATTGTTAAATTATATTATAAATAAATACTTTAAATATTAATTAGTAATTATTAATTATTATCTATATGTTGCGGGTTTTTTCATAATTATATTTATCTAGTAATCAAAATGAAGTTTGAGTTAGTCGATGTTATAATACACGTATGTATAGCCAAGACGATAAGTAATATATAAATAAGTAATATCTATTATTTATAAATCATAAGTTGTTAAGTATCAAATAAGTTGTAAATGAAAAGTCTCAAGCCAGATCGAATTTAAAACCGTAGTAATGTATATATTGTTGTATAGCCTAAGTTAAATAAATTAGGTTAAAACTTTTTCTCTATATTCAACTCAAATTTGAATAATTATTTACCCTTAATTTGAATTTGAACTATTATTAGTTTATCACTTTAACACACACTACATATATATATATATATATATATATATATATATATATATATATATATATATATATATATATATATATATATATATATGATAAAAACAAGTAAAATATTTCTATAAAATTGTTATACCCAAAAAGTTGCAAAACTTCATTGGACCATAAAGAATTAAACCATAAAGAATTAAATTTATAAGTTGTAATTAATTGAAATAATTTTATATAAAATTTTGCTTATTAGGGTAAAGTTTTGAAAAAGTTTAGTTAGTTAGAGTCTTTTTCTCACTCATTTTGGATTACGATAATAGGAATAGATATTTGCCTAGAAATAAGATGGCGTTACCTTAGCCGACCGAAAGCGAAACGAAGAGATTCGCAATATGGCAGGATTGAAAGATGACCTTATCACAAAAATTGATAGGGGCGTACTCCAATGGTTTGGGCACGTTGAACGAATGAGTGAAGACCGAATGGTGAAGAAAATATATAGAGCGAAAGTAAATATTAAAAGGTGTCGAGGTAGACCGAGACTAACTTTCGAAGACCATGTGAGCAAATTGCTCGAAGAGGGGAGGGTCAAAAGTACTCGGATACCTAGACGTGCATGTATGAAGAAGTTAATGAACCTGAAGGAAGCGAAAGAGGTATGTAAGGATCGTGACACTTGGCGATCTGTTCTCTCTGGCTACCCCGTTAGGGATTGTGCGTGAAATAAGATGATTCTCATAGAACACGGTTGTACAAGGTAGCAGATGTAAATATTTAGTGGCTAAACAATTTGATGCGTGTGTTGTGGAGGTATTTATTGATAAAAATTTTGATAAGTGTATTAAATTTAGGTATATCCGGTATAAATTAGTAAATGCTTTTAATGTAGTAAATTGCGTGTTTATCTAAGAATTTAATTTTCCCGCTGTTAGTCAATTTATATTAGCCTTAGGCAATTCTGTAGTTTGTAAAGGTAGTAATTAAGTCAGAAATTACAATACATGTTCAAACATTGTAATTTTTACTGTCATTTTCGATATGTGACATTTCAGAGTCCGTCTGGGTGGAAATATTATGGCGACATCTAACAATTCTTTTGTAAATAACACTTTAAATTAAACAAGGAAATCTGCGGATGCGTCGTCACTCCGACAATTAAAATGGAACGCCTCACAACTTGTAACTATATTAGCTCTGTATTCGCTTCAGATCGCAACACAGCAGTGGACACACCGCTGTTGGTGGCAGAAATATGTAAGAGTGTAGAACCTATCCAGACAGGCTCCTAGGCAAGAGTGGTCCTACCATCTGTAAATGTGTATTATTAGCTCTTAAATTATATATATATAAGTTTTTGTAGCAGCTGGTGTTTGGCCCATGTTAATGAATATTACCTGTAATGCTTTATTGTGTGCATAATCAATAATATACTTATTTAAATGTATTTTTAGTATATTATAGGATTGCATTGGCTTTCTCGTGAAATAATAAACAAAACTCATGTTTTAATAAGTTGTCATTTCAAATTATCACTTAACATTAATATGTATTTTCATAATTATCGATTTACATGTGGGACAATAATTTATAAATATATTTAAAGAAAGGGAAAGAAATTAAGTTTACCTTTGTATAGTACAAATAATTGAAAGACAAAACATATTATTACGCAAGGTTTTGATTTTCTATATAAAGATCAAATGCATAAAAAGCGTTCAGGCCCTCTAGAAGTTCAGGGTGTAGGTGTGGAAACGTTTCTTCATTTCCCGCAAATTTAAATTTCGAGCGAATTAGTACTATAGCGGCAAAAATTTTGAAGGCGTGGCGTCAGGCGTGAAGGCGACCGCTAGCACCCTAACTGTTCGATTTGATTTACTTTTTTTTCAACATGACCTAAAAATAATAAGCCTTTTGATTAGATACAAGTTTTACACGGTTTCCTTACAGAATCTCTACAAGGCAGATACTTTTAAATTGCGATTTAATGTCATCTTTGTGAAGGTTTTTTTTTTCGAGTATCTTCGCGTATGTCTTCACAAGCCCCTTTTCCTTATATTCAGTTTCTATAAATTTATTTTGTTTTTGCGCAATGATTACATAGATGTTCAAAATAAGTGCGACATCAGAGTAGAATTTGTATCTACAATCGTGGAATTGGGAGGTATTAGATACATTATTTAGCATGCTAAGTATGTTTTACAATGATTTTTGAATTTATGATTTGAATTTACGCGAACACTATACATTGAGTTAAATTATATTGACGGATTTTATCGGGTTTAATTAACTATTTCAACTTATTTTTAACTCCCGACGTTTCGGGTGCTTTACAGCACCCATGCTCAAGGGGGGGGCTGAGATGTTTGACTGAAATGTTAGCCCGACTAACTTTAGTTATGTTTATTTATTTCATATATTTACACTTTATTGCACCATAAAAAGATTACAAAGGGCGGACTTAATGCCATTAGGCATTCTCTCCCAGTCAACCCGGGACGTGTGGAAATTATGTGATAGGTGACAAAATAAAATGAACAATAGAGTAAATCAAGGAAAAAAAACTACTGATAAACTTAAAAACAAACTAATATTATATATACAAATTCAATAAACTTATATACTCCAAAATATAAGACAGATAATATATAATATATACATACATATTCATAGATACATAAATATATACATATTTTAAATACAAATAGATATATAATATAAACCTATAAATAAAATAACAACAAAGGTAACCAAAATTAACCATATTAACCATTATCTAATATTTTCATAAAATGCTTATGTACCAATCTTTTAAAAGCAGTCTTATTAGATGTTTTTCTGACGTCATCGGGCAAGGAGTTCCAGAGCAGTGCAGCCTGAATTGTATATATATATATATATATATATATATATATATATATATATATATATATATATATATATATATATATATATATATATATATATATATATATATATATTTAATAAATTAAGAGCGGAATGGTAATCAAGCATTATTTGAAAGGCGTGTCTATAATGCGTTTAAAAACTTAAGATGTTTGTCTTAATGAATGTTTTAA